TATTGTGGGACTGTCCTGCTTCAAGGTTGTATATGGTTAGTTTTTTGGACTTATGTGTAAACATAAGAAGTATGTAATTCTTTATGCCTATTTTTAAAATATATTCTATTTTTTAAATTTTTTTTAATCATATTCTGTAGGGACTTAAAGTTCAACATATCAATACTTGATGAAAAAGCATAATTACTCGGTTCCATGTTATGCCTAAGATGTTTGATATTCAGACAGATAGTGAGGTTAAGCTTAACAACCTAAGTTGTATGGTAATAACAATAAGCTTGTCTTCTGGATCGTTAACAACCTGTTTGCAGACCAAATTGGAGAAAAAGGAGGGCCGCAAGGAAAGCCAACTTTTTGGCCTTAGCCTTCCAAGGTCAATTAAGACTCAGGACATATGAGAACTTGTACTGTTACATCATGTAACTCAGTAGTGTCCCAAATTTCTGATCAGAGAGATTATGGGGCCAAAGAGGAAAGTGATCGATGGTGTAGAGTATGCCTAAGGAAAGTCACGTAGAGAGAAAACATTCTCTCAGGCTTTCACAGAGAGCACATTGGACAAGCAATGGCTGTGACTCATCCACATGGCTGACACTGACAAAGGATCTACAATCTGAGGTACAGATCTCAGGATAAATCCTGAGGGGATTTCACTGATGTTATCAGACCCAAAAGCTACAACTCTTGTTGCATAGGTCCTGCTTTGCCTTGGTCTTAACCATCCAGCAGAAAAGTACAAAAAAGAAATTAAGAAGTAAAGCCATGCTGTTATGTTGAGCTATAGGGGACTCAGGTCAACAATTTCTGAGCTATAGGGGACTCAGGTCAACAATTTCTGACATTGCCAGTGAAGCGGAAGACCCAATACTATTATGGGGTACTGGACTCTTTTAGAATATTTTGCTGAGTTTACACACCTATAACATTGAAATAACGGGACTTCACAAAAAAACGGGATAGAGATGAATGTCCATTTTGTATCTTTCCATTCAAAGTGGCTAGGATAGATATATAGTTACATTCTCTTAATGAATAAAGGGATTTGTTCTAATGGTGTTTATAAATAGAATATCATGTCTGCATCTTAACAGCAATTAACCACTACTAAGAATGTATGCAATGTGTTAATTATTGAAACTGTCCTACCAATTTGATTTGAAACTCTCTCATTGCTATTTGTTTCTCAATAAAATTATGAAGAAAAAAAGTATATTCTGTGGACACATACTAAAAAAAAAGCTTAAAACAGTGGAAAATTCTGAAAGATGTCGTTGGAAGATGCATCTTGATTAGAGACTGAGTCTAAAAAAATGGAGGTCAGTTATGTCTGATATCAAGTAAGTAAAAATTAGTTTAAGAAATTCATAGAGATTATGAGTCTTAAGAGAGCATAATTACTCGGTGTATTCAGAAATACACAGATTCGCTTATATTTACATGTCCTTTGCCAATAGCTTCTTACTATAAAAAAGTGTAATTTACCAAGAACTAAGCCTTCAGGTACCCAAACTGACAGTTAGTCCAGTTTATCAGCCTTACCCGTGTCATGTAAATGATGCTGGTCTTGAACCCTGTACCCTACAGACCTTGGGCTGCTGCTGCACAAGTGCCCACCCCTGCTAGCAAGAACACTGTGATTTATAGTGCTTGAATAGAGCCCATCCATCTGTATATTTAAAATCTTCACAGTTGAAACTAAACACAGCTGAGTTATGTCGTTTTCTGAGGAAACTTATTGCTTCTGTCTTGTGTCTTGCTGCTATAGCTAGGAAATCCGAACTGTATCTTTGTTCATGAATACTGCTTGTCAGATTAACTACACTGCTCTATGATGTTTTGCAATGTGAACCTTCATCCTTTAGTTACCACTTCACTCCATCCATTCTGAGCTTCAGCTTCCTGCTAATGAATTTCTACTTTACAGTAAAGATTTTTTCCTTTATGAAGAAACAAAATCAAAATTAAGCAGTAAAAAAACAAAAACAAAAGATGAAGGGAGTGAATGAATGTTTGTCACTATATTTGGCAATTTAATGAAACAATTAATTAAAAAAATATAACAATCTAACCAGGCATGGTGGTACATGCTTATAATCTCAGCACTTGGGAGCCTGAGGCAGGAGGATTGTCATGAATTTGAGTCCAGCTTGCGCTACATTGAGACTCTGTCTCTAAACAAACAGGAGGACATTTTAAAATGATCAGTATGACATTTATTAACAATGCTGAATCCACCAAAAACTCTTATCAAAGATGTCTTGAAGCCCCAGTGGTTTCAATAGTAGAGTCTACCAAACATTAAAAAAAAAAAAAAAATCACTCTTACAGGCCAATCTCATGAAAACAGATATAGAAAACTACAACAAAATAGGAAATATCATTACATTCAGACTATATTATCTTAAAAATTGCAACAAGGTGACTTATTTCAGGAATAGAAGGGTAGTCTAACAATTCACAATGAATTTAAGGTAGCATGTTAACAGACAAAAATACACATGAGGAAAAGTCTCACAACCATATTGATAGATGCAGAGAATATATTTGATTTAATTTAAATCATTTACAAAATTGTCAGCACATATGAAATTTAAAGTTACCCAAAGCTTTCAACTAATTAGGAATAAACCTAAGAAAATGTACGTAAAACTTACACTGAAAAACCAAAATATTAAGAAAAACTAAAAATTTACCTAAGTGGAAAGAGGCAGAGAGCTCATTTTTTGATGGCAAACCAAGGCAAAGGATTTCATGCAACTATTAAAATTAGTGTGAAGGGCTGGGGAGATGGCTCAGTGGAATAAGCGCTTCCTTGGCAAGCGCAAGGGCCTGAGTTCAATTCCCAGTTCCACCAAAAAATAAAAAAATAAAATAAAATAAGTGTCCTCAGCAGTAAAACAGAACTTAAAATGCCAGCTCCCCCTAGTGGTTATAATCAGCAATCTTGCAACCGTACAATACCTTCCTCCAGGACTTCTCTTGGCTCTACCTTCTCTGCCTTTAGGCCAACAGCAGCGCTCTCCTCACGGCTGCACCTTTCTGGCAGGCCCATGGCCACAGCCTTGGCCACTTTCTCATACACACTTACCTGCTGCAGCGAAGTGACTGCATCTCCAGCTCTCACCATTTCACTGTAAACTTTCGCCAGCAGAACTTGAGAACGTGTATCTTCCATGAGAGCTGACAGTTCATTTACTATAAAGATGAGATACAAAGGTAAAAGCATTTTCTAACATAAACATTTACATTTTTAAGACTAGTCTTTGCAAAAAATGATTCTAAAGAACAATCACTGGGGGCCAGAGATTTAGCTTAGTGTTAGACAGTTTGCTGAGTATGCATGAAGCACTGAGTTTAATTCCCTCAGAAGAAAGTAGTGAATTAGGATTTTTATTTTCACTCACCTAACCATGATATGAACAAAAATAAGTCAGGACAATAAATGGCATGAAGAAAATTTAAAAAATGGATAACTAGAATTTTTTCTTTGATACACATTGAGAGAATAATTCATAAGTATTTCAGTTTTCATGTGTAAGCATAAAAACTTTCTGCTCACTAAAACATTAACAAAAGTAAAAAACAGTTGCTACATGCAATTAAGAGGATAACTATTCTTTTTAAAATAAGATTCTTGATAAGCAATAAAATATAGGTAGTAAGAGCACCGACTTGGAGGCTAACCAGGCTGATTTTTAAGTTTAGATTTCAAATTTACTAGCTCTGTAGTTCACTTTCCCTTGTAAAACAGAGAAATAACAGTCCCTATTTTACAGGATTATTGTAAGATTTTTAAAAAGCTAGTAAGGTATTAAATTATGACATAAAACAAAATAAAGTCTGGTAAAGGTTTAAATATTTAGACATACCAAATACTTATGTAGGAGCAATAGAACCCTGAATAATAAAAACAAGCCTCTCCCACCCATTCATCAAGTGCTGTACAGTTCATGATACACCCTACTCCAGAGGTTCAGATATATTTTGTTATGGTTATTTTATAGGTAAGAATTAAGCTTTAATGGACACAAGTATAAAGAGGTTGTGTGAGAGGAGGGGAGGGGTGAAGGGGTGAAGGGGTGGATAAGGCACGGCAGAACGAAGAGTGCTCCTAATCTGAGGACATGGGAGGTAAGTGTGAGCAGACAGGCCTGGACTTGCATCATGAAGGGCTTCAGCTATCCGACCACAGTGGCTGCGGCAGGGCTGCAGAGCAGCTGACTACCGCAGCAATGGAGGTAAGTGAGGAGGGAGACTTGGACAAGGGAGAGAGCTCATGGAAACAGTGCCACACAGCAGGATGCTAATGTCATCCTAGGGTGGAGACAACAGACCTATTAAATACCAGGGCAAAGAGGAGGGTAAGGATTTGGGCTTTTAGTAACTACAAAGGAGGATGAAGTAATTAATGAGAAAATACAGGCTACATGTGGAATAGATTTAGTTAAGGAGGTCAGGAATTTACTTTTAGACACAGAAAGTTTCACACCTTTATTGGAACCCATGTGTTACTACTTGTCAGGTAGGCAAATTTAGATACCTGAAGAAAACTGAATCTCAGATTGCCCTCTGTAAGAAGGGATGAAGCCTGGTGTGGTGGTGCACACCTAAAATTTCATGCTCTCAAATACTGAGGCAGGAAGATCACAAGTCCAAACCTATGCAGGGTGGCTTAGCAAAACCCCGCCTAAAAAGAGAAAAAGAAAGAAGCTGAACGTGCAGCTCATGCAAAAGCCCTGATCAATTCATCAGTACTGCACGAATGAATGAATAAAAAAGAGGGATGAACAACAGGTACATTTGCCTCAAAGATGAATGTGACCACTAATAAAATAATGTATGAAATGCAATATGAAGGCATCTAAGTATGTCATGGAGTGTGTTCAACAAGTATTTAAAAAAGTGTATTTATATTTACATTAATGAATTAATATATCCAATGTAAATAAAGTAGCATACTTGAAATTTTCCCTACAATCTTTTCAAAATGATTTTTTTCCCAAAATGCCTTCTATATTTATGTTCTTGACTGTTTTAAAAGAGGGTCTGATCAACTCATCCACTTTTTTTAAATAGAACTAGTGTTTAAGTATTAAAGTATTCAAAATGAAGATGTAAGCATTAACCTTAACAAAGCTAAATTATAAGACCATTTTAGATATTCTAGAAAATTCAGGACACACTTGTCTTATGTATCCAAATGTATTTTAAAGCACAGTAAACAGTGATAAAAAAATAATTCAGCAGAGCAAAATAAAGTTTAAAACGAGTCATATAAATGGAATTTATATTATTACGTAATAAAGATCTATTTCGATAACATTGACAAATTAAAACTGGCTATCCATTTTGGGAAGTGTATAGTAAGGAAATGTATGTAGGTTAAGGTACACAGATTAAAGCTCTCAATATAAAAATTAAAACAATAAAAATGCCAGAAAAATATGGAAAGATTTACATAAAATTAGGATTGGGAAAAGTTTTTCAAAGAATGGCAAAAAGTTCAGAAGCCAAACAAAGAGCAAAAATGATAAGTGATAATTATATATTCTATTTTATCAAAGACAATAAATAAATTTGATAAGAAATACATTAGCCCATAAGAAAAAAAATCTATAACCTGAATAATAGGTAATGGCTTAAACACAGGATACATGTTAAAGATAAAGAAAAAATGAGTTCTAAACAAAAAATGCCTAACCTCAAAGTCATCAAAGAAAAGTAAATTACAATAATTTCTCATGACTGATGCTATATAAAATTGAGAAATTTTTAGCTTGAAGAAGGAACAATGAAGAAGATTCAATGTTAGGAGTAGCTAGACATACATGAAACATTTTATCTTAATATTGTTTCCAGGTTTTCTCCAATTAAATGTCCATCCAAAGAAGACTTATCAAGTATTTTACCATCTTAACATAAAGTAAAACACATATACTAAAAATAGAGAAGAGCTTTTCTTTGCAGTACTAGGGGTTGAACTTAGGACCTTGTGCTTGACCAGACAAGTGCTTATTCTACTGAGCTATCTCCCTGGCCCGAGAAGAGGTTTTTTTTATTTTGTTTTGTTTTTTTGTCTTTTTGAGACAGGATTTCACTATGCAGTGCAGGATAGTCTTGAGCTCACTTTGCAGCCCAGACTGGTCTCGGACTTGCAACGATCCCCGTTTCAGCCTCCCAAGTGCTCTGATTACAGATGTGCACCACCATGTTCGGTCTGAGAAGAGGTATATTTGCTGACAAGGAACCAGATTATTAAATGAAAAACTCACACTGCAGAACTACAGATATACTATAACCCATTGGTAGAAAAAAATACAAATGAAGAAACAGTAGAGTTAGGTACAAAAAATATATATGTAACTACGATATAGTAATGGTTTCAAGACTTTCTGCAAATACCAAAATCATGGGTACTTGGATCCATTATATAAAGCAGTATAGTATTTGTATACAACTTACAGACACCCTTCTATATATTGTAAACCATCTCAGGATTACAGAGACTAACACCATGTAAATGTTATATGAATAGTTGTCATACTGTATTAGCAAATAATGACAAGAAAAACTACATACTTGGTACAGATACAAATTTTTTTCATATATTTTTGATCTATGGTTCTCTGTGTATGCAGAAAACAGACTGTAGCTATGTGTACATGAGAGAGACAGAGATGGAGGTAAAGAGACTT